CCACACACACACACAGACACAGACACAGACACACAGCCAAAGAAGCGTCAGGCGGCTCTCTCACACAAACACGCCAGCCCTCTAGCCATCACCTACACCCACACAGACCCCCCCAGACAGACAGACAGACAGAGACAGATACGCAGCAGCCCTCAATCAACCGACGTACCCCGCCGCGGCATACATGGGCGTCGGCACCCCCCCTTTGCAAATCACATACTCCCCGTCCCTCTGCTCCCTCCTCAACCCCCCCAAGCCCCCCAAGCCACCACCCACACCGACTGTATGGTCAACGTCAGGTGACGGCAGAGCCGCATCCACACCCACCGCTCCCCTTGTGTGTCCGCCGAGGGCGGCGCGGGGGTACTGCTGCTGCTGGTGTTGGCGCAGCGACATTGACAGAGGAGAGAGGGGGGAGAGACAGGGGGGCCCCCTCGCGGCGTCGGGGATCTTCCCGCCTCTAATCATGCCTAAACCATCTTCCTCTGAAGGAAAGAAAGAGACATAATGACAAGTAGAGCCAATCGACCTTCTCAACGACCCACCATCGGCAGCAGAAGGGATGATGGGGATCGGCGGCGACCGCGCCCCAACGCCCCCGACCCCTCCAGCGATTGACGGCGACAAACTGGGCACATTGCCCACACCCACAAGATGCTGCGGCCGCAGCGAAGAGCCCCCCTTGCCAATCCCTGTCGGCGACACAGTGGGCGGCGAGAAAGGCCCTGTCTGCTTCTGCTTGCCCATGACGTAGTCCCTCATGACACTGTGGGAGTATCCTGTGATGTCGATCGGCTTTGTGGGCGGCAGGGCCGGGAGATGGATGCTGGTGCTGGTGTGGGTGTGGGTGTGGGGATCCGGGTCGGTAATAATGGGCTTGTGTGTGGCTGCTGGTGCTGGTGTGTGGGGGGAGGGGTTCTCCAGGGCAGAGGGCAGCGGGGGGTGTGTGCTGCGAGAGCGGCTGGCCCAGCTCTTGAGGCAGTCCCAGTGAGTCTGCACAACATCAGACAATCTCACTCTCTGTGTGTGGGGCAAGAGGGGGCGGTGCTTGCCTGTTGCGCGCGCTCCATTTTGGTGAAGCGGTTCTCGAGCTGCAGGTGCATCAACAAACACACAGACACACAGACAGGCAGACAGTCAGGTGTCGTGATGCGGCATGGTGTGGGTGTCTCGCGTGTGTGTGAGTGTGTGTGTGGCCATTATCATATCATATCACATCAGACGGTTAAAATTGGCTGTTGTGTCCCCACACCACTCCTCTGTGTGGTCGGAGTTGGATTTCTTGTGTGGTCATCATCTTGTGTGGTGACCCCCATATATATGTGTATGTGTGTGCAGAAGTGCTCACCGCTTCACAGAGGTTGTCCAGGCGTGTTTCCAAGGCACACACAGACGCTCGCGATTCCCTCCTCTGACCCACACACATACACACACATAGGGGAGAGGGAGAGGGATGTGTGGGTCTGTGTGTGTGGGGGGGTGTGTCCTTTCCGTGGCTTCTTGCTCACAGTGACATCCTGTGTGTCCTTGATCTGCGAGATCTCCTGCCGCAGAGTCGTCACGGCGCCCTCCACCTCTCCCTGCCTGCATCCATCCATCCATCCATGAGAAGACATCATTGGACAAGACGCACCTTTTGGCGAGAGTGTCGTTGATGGTCTGGACGTTTTGTTTGAGGAAGGCCTCCTTCTCGCAGAGGCTGACGAGCTGACACTCGAGGCGGGACACCTCGTCTGACGCCGACGTGCACCGCTGATCTGCACACACACACAGACACACACACACACACACACACACAGAGAGAGAGAGAGAGAGCGAGAGGCGTCTTATTGCTCTCTCTCTCTCTCTCTCTGTGTGTGTGCGTGTGTTTACGTGTGTCCTTCTGCATGGAGTGGAGGTCCTCCCTGAGTCGAATGGTGTTGGTCTGCACGCGCTGGTCCATCGCACCAACCTCAGTCTGCAGCCTCTCGTGCTCACCCTGACGAACCAACCAACGCATCAATGCTCTCTCTCTCTCTCTCTGTGTGTGTGTGTGAGTGTGTGTGTGTGTGCGGATGGGTGCCTGCAGGGCGGTGAAGCTCGTTTCCAGCTGCTGCATCTCCTCCATCAGCTGACACACACACCACCCACACACACACACACAGACACAGACACAGACACAGATCTCCTTTGTGTGTGTGTGTGTGTGCGTGTGTGCGGCTGACTGACCACGTCCATGAGTGAGTGAAAGGCCGACTTGACCGTGTCGAGCTGTCGCGCTATGGACTCGATTGCCTGCAAAGCTCGACAGCTCTCTCTTCCTCTCTCCCTCCGTCTCTACCGACCTTTTTGGATGTGTGTTCGAACTCGATGGCCGATGCGGTCTCCTGGGCGACCTCCTGCTGCACCTCCTGCAGACGATCCACCATACGGCGCCTGCAGACGATCCAGACAGACAGACAGACAGACATCAACAGAGAGAGAGAGAGAGACGGGGTGGGGGCGTGGTTTGCCTTCTTACATGAGGTTGGCGTATGGGTGCGGCGGCTTCTCCTTCAGGTTGACTGACAACACACACGGGGAACACAGAGAGAGGACACACATGTGCATGGGCGTCTCACATCCTGCTTTGCTCTCCAGAATCTCTCTGCCGTGCTGTGCTTACAGGTGAGTGTCGTTTGCTGAGGCCCTCCAGGACCTCCCGGCTGTCGCCTCTGTGCCATCCTCACGACAGTGAGACGGGATCTCGCCCCCCGTCTGCATGTAGCATATGCATGCAGACTGGGGGAGCAGAGCTGCTAGCTTAGCTGAGAGGAACAGAGATGGACGCGCAGACAGACAGACAGACAGAGATGCACGTGTGATCTGCCGTGCCACTAATTGTCTGACCGACTCACAAGCAACAACCAGGAAGGCCCAGCAACGCCTGACAGTCGCCTGACAGCTGTCGGGAGGCCACAAGAGGGAATACCTCTTAATGAGACAGATCTGCTTGTTATCCATGTCTGAAACACAACACAGATACCCAGAAACGTGAAAGAGCCACTTCTGTGAGTGCAGGGCTTCTTTTTACAGGGTTTCAATGCTCGCATTTCAGGGATCCGTTCGCACGGCTTCCTCAATGGAAACGCCTTTTCCGAACCCTTTCGTCCACCTTTCTCCACGCAGCAGCAAGCAGGGAGGATGGGTGACCTTACAACTGATTGGCACAGCAACGACGAAAGCTGGTCAGCGGCTGGGTTTCGATCATGATCGCGTAGGGTTTTAGGGTTTGGCCTGTCAGGGACCAGAGAAGGGCAACTCATTCACCGTCAATCTCCACTCTCTTCTCTTCTCTGGTCTTCTTTCGTTTGAGATCTATTCTCTCGATGGTATCCCGCTCGTGTAAGAACCTTCTCCTGGTTGTTGTCGGCGCTGTCCTTGTGACTCTTTGGTGTGGCGCCCTTGCTTTCTTCGGTGTGTTCGCGAGTGATTTGTTCGGCAAGGTGGACAACAATGACGGCGCGAAGCCGTCTTTACGTGGCGAGAAGCCCTTCGACTCGAGCGATGCTGCTGTGACAACCACCATCTCGCCTGGTGAGTGCACTCTGATATTGTCGTGGTTGTGTGCCGTGCCAATGATGCTCACTGTGTATGTGTGTGTGTTCGTTCAGTTGAGCCTGTGGCCACCACCACAACCAGCCGGCCGCCTTCCATCGTCACCACGAGCAGCCCGCCAACAGCCGACGTCGAATTCGCCGTAGTCGACGCCAGCGATGAGGAGGTTGCTGTGCTGCTTGACCAACTCGAGGAACAGATGGCCCTCGCGCCAGGCAACATGGCAATCGTGATGGTGGAGGGCAACGGAGCCGTCCTTCTGGCTGACAACCCCAACTTCAGTGGCGGGCGGCGACGCAAGCTGTTCCTCTCGACAACCACGACAGCCGCCGCGATCGCGAGGCGGTGCGACGACCATCCTGACTGCCGCGCGGCTCTCGTCAGCGGATCAAACGAATGGCTGCTGACGGGGGTGGGGTTCGAGATGACGATGAGCTGGGTGGACGACGACTTGTGTGAGGGCGGCTGCCCACTTGAGGAGGAGCCCCGCACGAGTGCCGTTCCTCCGACGATATCCCCCACGGCGATCCCTACCACTCCTTCCACTGTAGGGGATGCACGAGCCACTCACTGTTGCCATTCATGTGTGTGATGCCGTGTCGCTCTCTCTCTTTCTCTCTGTCGGTCTCTGCAGGGTGATGGTGAGCTCGACGATGAGCCCACCGAGGAATCGCAGGACGATTCGACCACAATCCCGCCCACCTCTCGTCCGCCGACCCCCACCACTCGTATGTCCACCACAGCTGCTCCCTCGACCACAGCTGCTCCCTCAACCACAGCTACTCCCTCAACCACACTTGTGCCGACGGCGCCATACAGCTGGGTGGGCAACAGAGGCCTCACTCTCACACAGAACGACGCACACGGACCAGCCATGTGTGCATGCACGAGTCTCTCTCTCTCTGCGTGGGTGTGTCTCTCTCTGTGTGTGTGTAGGAGTGTTCTTTCAATGAAGGTGCAGTGACCCTGGTGGACGGGGAGTGCACTGAGGAGTTCTGTTGCAACATACACAACTCGCTTTACATCGGCCCCACGGGGCCTATACCCAGAGGCTACACGACCATAAACTTTATGAAGCTGTACCCAGAGGAGCGGTGGGCGATGGAATGCGGCTACCGGACCGACAGGATCACCAAGCCCACCGAGCGGTGCGGCCTTGAGGCGGGAGAGCAGGCGCCCGGGGAGTTCGAGCGGAAGATCATGCGGTGCAGAAGTGCTGAACACGTGGAGCAGATCTTGTTTGACACCTGTAAGTGAGACATGCTGATTCGGTGCGCACACGCCAAGATGCCTCTGTCTCCCCTCCTCTCTCTGTGTGTGTGCGTCTGTATGTGTATGGCTTCATTCAGGTGAGGTATCTTCCGTCAACGCGACCGAATATCCCGATCTTCTTGCCCAGCTCGAGGAAGAGGTGGCTAGTGCTTCAGATGACATGCCCGTCGTCATGGTGGCTTCTGACGACATGGTGCTTCTGGCCGACAACCCCACTTTCATCTCGAGCGACGACGACGGCCAACGACGCGAGCTGGTCGAGGGAGAGGCCACATCAGGCGCCATCATTACAAGCACGGTGCTGGTTGGGCGCTGTGCGGCCAACGAAAAGTGCCGCGCTGCTGTCGTATCGGAAAATGAGGAACTTACCGTGTGGGCGCTGAGGACTGTACGAGATGGCGTGGCGTTAACAACCGCAACGTGCCTCGTGGAGAGCTTTTGCGCCTCGTCAGGCTGCCCCTGGGGCAAGCTGTGCGCCGGAACCGCAGCTCCCGCAAGGCCCCCTCCTCCTTCTCCAAGCCCCCCCCGTCCAAGGCCGATCACTGAGGAGGAGATTGATATGCTGTTCGAGCAGCTGAACAAAGAGATGGCCGTCGTCCATCCGTGGACATCAGAGGACAGGCCTGTCATCATGGTGGAGGGCTATGGCGCCGTGCTTCTGGCCGACAACCCCAACTTCAACTCCGAATTCTGGCCGGTGGCTTTCTCTGACCCCATTTCAGCCACAGAGATGGCTGGGCGCTGTTCCGACGACCCGACATGCAACGCTGCTTCCGTCAGGGCAAGTACTGGGACCATTGTTGCCGGAGTTGTGCTCACGAATGTCTACAATGACATGACGACGAGTTGGATGAAGCACATGCTGTGTGATTGCGGCGGCTGCTATTGGTGGGAGAAGGACCCGAGCAAATGCAGACCTCAGCCGACTCAGCCGCCGACCACAACTGCGCCGACGGCATCAGACAGCAATGAATGGGTGAGCAGGAGAGGCCTCACACACACAGACGCACGGGGACTAGCCTTGTTTGTGCTCACAACTCTCTCTCTTTCTGCCTCTGTGTGTGTGTGTGTGTGTGTGTGTAGGAGTGTTCTTTCAATGAAGGTGCAGTGACCCTGGTGGACGGGGAGTGCAGTGAGGACTTCTGCTGCAATATACACAACTCACCTGACATTGGCCCCACGGGCCCCAGAAGTGTCACCACCGAGGACTTCCGGAAGCAGTGGCCAGAGGAGCAGCGGGCTACGATGTGCGACGTGCGCACCGACAGGATCACCAAGCCCACCGAGCGGTGCGGCCTTGAGGCGGGAGAGCAGGCCCTGGGAGAGTTCGAGCGGCACATCTACTCGTGCGCTGGGGCTGAACACGTCACCTATATTGTGTTTGACATGTCTAAGTGGGCCATGGTGATTCGAAGCTCGCGTGTACACACGCCAAGATGCCCTTGTCTCCCTGTCTCTCCCTCTCTCCCTCTCTCCCTCTCTCTGTGTGTGGCTTCATTCAGGTGAGATATCTTCCGTCGACTCAAGCGAGGTGGCCGCCCAGCTCGACAGCGAGGTGGCCAGTGCGTCAGAGGACATGCCAATCGTCGTGGTGGAGAGGGGCGCGAACACTTGGGTAGTTGCCGATAATCCCAACTTCAGCTCCAACAGCAATGGCGAGCGACGCGAGCTGATTGGCCTAGGGGGCATCATTGCAGCCGCTCACGTCGCAAGGCTGTGTGCCCAAAACCCTGGCTGCCGCGCTGGTGCCATTCGCGCCGGAACATGGACGTGGGGTGCCATTAAGCAGGGTACGGCGTATGTGCTGAATAACATAGGCGGCTGGTTGGTGACATCGGCGTTCTTCTGCGGCTTGGAAATGTACTGTGGCGGCGCGTGTCCCGGGCTCATTAAGTTGTGCCCCTTAGTCACAACGACCGCAGCTCCCACGCAGCCAACGACACCTTCTCTTTCTCCTTCTCCTTACAGGGTAGGCAATGGATGAGGCACTGGGGTGTATGGGCGTCACATGACTTAAGTGTGCTCCACGCAGGATCCGGGCTACATTGAATGTTGGCGTGATTGGGATGGGTTCAATGGGAGATTCGAAGACAGCTACCAATGCCAAAGATGCTACTTTGATAGCCTGCAATGTGGAGCACCCCGTGATCCATCTGCTAGTTGGCCGGGCAAACCATGTCGTGGCGGGGCAAACTACATGAGCCGCTGTAACGGCATTCTGCGGTACGATTGGAACACCGACCCCGAGTGGTTGTGTGCTTCACTAGGGGTGATGTGTTGATCGCTTCGCTCATCGCGTTGATGCCTTGACTTCGTGCGTGCGTACCTGCATGTGCGTGTAACTCGTCTGCGGAGCCCTGATGTGTTGGAGTCTTGACTGACCACCTGACTAACTCCATGCTGATGTGCATGTGCACGCATCTATTTATGCGTTTATGCGGCGGCGATCGATGGGTAGGTCTTCTTGTGTAGTTAGTTGCTAGTTGCTGAGAAGGTGATGATAGTGGTCGGTGAAGTGGGGGTTGTAATTGCTAGTTGGTGCAATTGGGGTAGGTCTTTCTGTGTAATTGCTAGTTGCTGAAGGTGATAGAGTAGTTGGGACTGTGTGTGTGTGATGTGTGGGGGTGTCTGCCCTGTCTTGTCTTGTCCAGCTTTTGGCTTTTTGTCTTTCTTCGCATGGATGGGTGGGTTCCACGCTTGGATAACTGCATGCGTTGATGTGGTTTATTTGGTGTGATTGATGTGCGATTTATGCACAGCTGAGCTGACCTGACCTTTGACGACTGTCTTACACGTTGACATTGACTCGCGTGTTGATGTCTTAAGTCTGTTGCTCTCTCTCATTCCATTCTCCTGGCTGCTCATGGCCTTTCAGTCATCCATCTCGCCGTTCATGCAGCCAAACCATCCATCGAGCCATCCGTCGACCCGTTATCAAAACACAGCTTGCCTGCCTTCATGGCATCTCTCTAGCTGTTCTACACATGCCTGCCGGCCTGCGTCGCATCCATCACAAATAAGGGTAGGTATGCAGTATTTACACATCATCTCGCCTCGCATCGCATCGCATCGCCTCTCATTGATCTCATTGCCAGCCAGCAGCAAAACACTCACTATAGCCATACTTACTACACACACCACACCACACCCGCATCGCATCACAGCGCATCGATGGGTGGGTGGGTGGGTGACATGCACACACTCGTACGACGTACTCCACCCCTCACCGCCTCCCACTCGTGTGTGTCCTCTGTCTGTCTGTCTCCCTAAGCAGCCACACATGCTTCACAGCAGCCGCACCCTGCCAATCCGCTCACAAATCCGCCACACCTTGCCCCGCCACTTGTCCCTCTTGACCACTCCGGCCGGCTCCAGCCTTCCAGCCCTCCCCGTCAGCTGCAAAGCCATCCACCCACTGGGGCCCATGTAGTCGCCCAGCTCCCTCGCCGGATGCGCGTGAGTCACCGCTCGCACAAGCGTCGCCACGCCGTGCTTCCCGGCCTTCACACACGGCACCAACAGAGATGACAGGAACCTGTCGCTCTTGGTGAGCTGGGAGGGGAGCAGGTGGCAGCCGAGGCCCGCGTTGCACGTGACGGCCACCATTCTGGGGGGGAGGGGGGTGGACGTGGGCGAGAGCAGCCGCACCAGCAGGGGCAGCTTCCGGAGCCGGTGGTTGAACTCGACAGAGAAAGCGACGTTGCTCGCTTTGGCGCGTGTGAAGGCCTCCCACGAATGCAGTGGGGGCGAGGGGGAAGGGGAGGAATTTGCGGCGGCCAGCTCATTGTCGGGGCTCAGTAATGCGCTGAAGACCGAGGCAAAATGCTCAGCACGGCCCAATAGAGAGCACTGCATCATGCAACCACACACACACACACACGTCGTGCCTCTAAGTGCGTTTCCGTGTGGCTGTGTGGGTGTGGGTGGGGGGCTGACTCTGTGTGCGACGTCAAGCAGGTCTTGCAGTCTGTCTGTGGCGAACATCTGCCCGTTGGTGGTCGTCCACACGACGCGGGATGGCTCGTAGGACCGACCTGACACACACACACACACACACACACATACACACCCTCTCCCCTCTCCCTCCCTCCCTCCCTCTCTGTGTGTGTGGCCCACTGCTAACCGGTCCGTTTCAAGCAGGGGAACAACAGGCCGGTGAGAGCGAAAGGCACCACCTGGTGCTCCACATACCCCCCCTCCCCCCTGTTGCACCACTCCCGGTGCCTGAACGGCTTGTTGACGCATATCAGCGCATCCAGCCGCCGAAACCGGCTCCTGAAGGCGCCTGCGAAGGCCCGTGCTGACGGGAGGGAGGCGTGGTCGAGGTAGATGTACTCGGCCCGACAGGGTGGGTGGCGCGGGGGGCGGAGGAAGGGCAGAGGGGGGGAGGGGTCTTCTTTTGGCGGAGGTGGCGTTTCTCGCGTGATGATGCTGCAATCCATGCATAACACATGTGGGTGCTGGTGGGTGGACTGGTTCGGTTCTCTTCGGTCACTGACCTCTTTATTCGCCGCGTAGCTCTCTGGCCCTCCTCATGCGAAGGACAACCGAGCACCTGGAAGAGTGAGTGAGTCAGAGCATCCACACATCCATCGATCTCTATCCATCCATCCATCAAGGACATGTGGCTACCTACCACATGGGCTCCCTGACGCGCCAACGAAACAGCCGTGTCAAACCTACATAAACACACAGACAGACAGACAGACGAACCAACCACACGATGGATGGATCTCATCCATCCACCAATCCATCCAGCCATCCACCCAGCCACTCACCCCAGTCCGGCGTGTCCATTGGTGACGATGACCACCTTGCCCCTCATCGGCTTGTTCGACTCGTCCCTGCCGCGAGCTCCTTTCTTGCCCGCCAGCCAGCGATAGATCTGCGCTGCCGAAGGCACACCACCCGCACCTGCACACACGACACGAGACGAGAAGGATCATGAATGCCGTTGTGTGCTGATTGTCGCTCACCGTTTTGCCTCCGCTGTGCATGTCTGTGTGGGTGTCTGTGTCTGGCTGCCAGCAGTAGTGATGCGGCAAGGCTGGATGTCGGCAGCTGCAGCAGCGAGGAGATCACATAGAAGATGATGCAGAGAAAGCAGATGCCGACGTGGTGGATGAGCAGGAGGGGCATTTCTCGCGTGAGAATCCGACCTCGGCTGCTGAGCTCGCGACAGAACTGAGGCTAAGGCTGTGAGTTTCCTCCATATATATCAGCGTCTTGAGTTTGACACTGCTTGCTTCTCTCTCGACATGCTTCCCCTGGCAGCTTCGTTCTCCCGGGCGGAGCTGTACGCCAGGAACAGACGACTCAATGTCAGGCTGATGTTTGCCTCGTCCGCCTTCTGCACCCTCTACTATGCAACAGCACAAGGAGGCATCTTCGGTCGGTCAGGACACGAAATCTCACGATGCATGAGCGGAGCACCTGACGTCTTTAATTCTGTCGTGTGTTGCACTGCATTGACGGACGATCAGATACCTACCTTTATCTGCTGTCGAGCAGAATGTGGGGCGAGGCCAAGGCCAACCGAGGCAAGCACACACACACACACACACACACAGAGCACTGGGCATACAAAGACGACGCAGACAAACGTGTCGTTTGTGTCGTGTGTGTGTGTCAGCGGTTGGTTTCGGCGAGTCCATCAGCGGTCTGACGTCACTAGTGTGTGCGGTGCCAGGGGGCTGCTGGTGGACAGGCTGGACAGGACGTTGCTCACCAAGGTGAGCAGCGTTGGACTGCTTGTGGCCAGCATCAGTGGAGCTTACGCACTCCTGACCGACTCAATCTACCTCATCTACTTCAATCTGCTTCTGTGGGGCGTTTTCGCTGAGGTTTCGTCCGCAACGGAGGCCATCTTCGCCGACAGGTGAGTCGACATGTCATCCCCTGCCTCCCCTCGTTCGTCGTTGAAGCCTCGTCAATTTGTTGTCGTCAGTGTGGACCGCGGCGAGCGGTCGAAGCTCTTCACGTACAAGGGCATCCTCGCCACTGTGTGGCTGGGGGCGGGCCCGGGGATGATGGTGTTTTTCTTCCTGGCATTTGGGGATCGGTGGTCGCTGTCCATCTGCCACATACCCCTCGTCATTGGCACCATCGTCTTCGCCCCGCTGTGGGGCATCTTCAACTGGTTCTTCCGACACCCACGGCCATGGGTCAAGGGCGCCGCGGAAGCCGCAAATGGAAGTCGAGAGGCGACATCAAGCATTTCGATGAATGGCACGACCGGCTCCACATTTGCATCGGCGAGTGATACGACGGGTGTCAAGCAGAGGGCTGGGAGTGCGGGTGATGGGGGAGGCAGCGACGAAAGCCAGGCCATCACGATTAACGGAGAGGGAGGCGCAGCGGCTGCTGTAGCTGCTGCTGCAGCAGCCGGAGGAGCGGGCGATGCCGACCAGGAAGATGTGGACGATTCTGAGCTGCTCAAGCACCCGACGCCGGCACAGCGGTGCATCCCTTACATCTGGTGAGGAAGACAGAGGGCAGTAGTGATATGCGGCTTGCTCGCCCGTGCATGTGTGGGTTTCCTTTGTCTGATTCATTTGTGCCTGCAGCGCCGTTTGCGACTTCATCACGTCCGTCGGTGGCGGCATGACAGTGAAATACTTTCCGCTCTTCTTCAAAAACGACTACGGGTAGGTGAGGGGACGGCCTCACTCACCAGGGGGAGGAGTTGACGCTGCGTCACTCAGTGCCCGCTGCTGTATACAAAGGCTGTATGTGTTCGCTTCCATGCTTACCTCTCTGTCTGTCTGTCTGTCTTTATGCAGCTTCACGCCCATGCACGTGTGCATTCTGACGGCCGTCTACCCCCTCTGTATCGGCCTGTGGATGCAGCTCGCGCAGAAGCTCAGCACCAAGATGGGCCGGGCCCACGCAAGCCTCCTCCACCAACTGGCGGGCTGCCTGTGTCTGTTTCTCATGTCACGAGTTTACCATCTCCCCTTCCTCATAGTGCTCTTCCTGGTGCGCGGTGCCTTCACCAATGCATGCAACCCCCTAGACCGGTCCATTCTGATGGACTACACGCCATCATAGCACCGGGGCAAGTGGTGAGCATCGAGATGTATTGTGACTTGGTGGGGATGTGAGCATGGTCTTTTTTCCCAATATATGGGTGTGTGATGGGTGTCTACAGGAATGCCATAGAGTCGCTGACGTACATGACATGGGCTGGCAGTGCCTTCATCGGTGGCCGGCTCGCTGACTCCCACGACTAGTAGGCCACCCTGACTGACGTACACACGAAAAGAAGACATGGATTGCCTTCTGTCGACGCTGTGGATGCAGTCGTTTCACCTTCATGATTACCGCTCTGATCTACTTATTCGCCCTGATCCTCTACACCCCCCTCGTATTCCTGGTTCCTAGGAATGAAGCCGACTTCCTCAGCCACGTCAAGCCACGCACAGACTCCATCCACGCCTCACCGAGAGTCGCGAAATCGCCCGACGCGCTGGCCTTCACGTCCTCACCCAGCTCCCTTCGCGGCCGGCCCCCGAGGGCGAGGGAGTATTCCATCGACGTGGAGCACCTCAACGAGCACCTCCTGACCTCCCACCATGAACACGATCAGTTCTCGCCGGCCGCCGTGTACCGTACTGCAATGGACCACACACACATGACGACCAACGTCAGCTACGTCAGGATGCAGGATGGAACCGAAACTGTCCGCGGCAAGACGGCATGATGGCATGGCTGGTTGGGGACTAGTTTTTCGCGTTTGTATGTGCGTGCATGCGTGTGTGTGTGAATGTGCGATTTTGTGAGCTCATGTTCGGCAGTTGTGTGGCAGACAGCGGTGGGGAACGGGATGGTTTTCATCCGTCCGTTTGTCCGTTTGTCACAGCGTTGTCGAGTTGATGGATCGAGGGGCCTCATGCACGCATGGCATGGCACACAGGGTCGAGGGCCCGGGGGACCGCCGCCGACAGTACGTCCGACAGTTCTGCACTTCTTCCGCCCACTTGCATGGTTTCATTCCATATGTGCATATACACACACGTGAGTGCGTGCATATATTTGTCTGAACGAGTCTCACTCTCTTACAGACAGGGTTTTCCACTTGCTGGCCGCCGCTTCAATCGAAGGCCGCGGTCGCAGTGGACACTCATTGCACTCTGACTGACTGACACTGACTGAGATTGGCCGACCAGTGGGAGGGGGAGAGATGCGGTCGTTACTAATTGCATAGTGTTGTGTTTGTTGCCTTGTTGGATGGAGGGATCATATATGGATGGGAGACTGTTACTTACGTTGTTTTCACAAACATACACAATACATACGCCCCGCCCCCTGTGCCCGTGTGTGTATGTACAGACCCACGCATGACACACGTAGCTGATGACGCACTCGACATATGCGTTGGACTTGACGTACACTGCACACCACTGGAAACACGATATGCAGCACTGCATCGAACTGCACGCATATTCATTTGCCCCCGCAGACAGACAGACAGAGACACGAGCGTACCCTAATGTCTGTCCCAAATCATTCGGCTGGCTGACCGTATATCGTGTTGAGTTTGTGATCTAATGTTTCGGGAATCGTCTGCGATGCGATGCTTCCATTTCGGTGAGAGATACGATGCATGCATGTGGGGCACCATCCTCTGGTTGTCCTTTTTGTGTGAATGCCTGTGTGTCTGTCCTTGATGTGTGTGTGTGTGTGTGCAGGTGGCACTGGCCACCACACCGAGGAGTCCCGGCGTACCATCGTCTGTGACAGTAAGCCGCAACACCCACACAGCTCAGCCCACTGCAATCCGCCACACCACATTCACTGTGTCTGTCTGTCTGTCTGTCATTGGCTCGTTGGTTGACGACAGAGTGCGGCAGGCCTGGTCACCGGCGGCAGGAGTGTCGCGTCAATGTCTGTGGGCGGTGCGGCAAGAGCGGCCACAAGGAGGCCGAATGCCACGCCGACCCTAATCTGTTCTGCAAGCGCTGCGGCCGGAGAGGACACCTCGCGAGGGCATGCCCCAAGGTGGGGAATGAAGAGTCATCCATCGGGGGTCACACAGAGATGTGTCTTATGGTGTGTTGTGTTGTCTTATGTGTCTGTCTGTGCAGTTTGTGTGTCGGTGGTGCGGCCAAATGGGACACAGACCGATCAACTGCCCCAAGAACCCTACCCAGTGAGGCTGTCTGTCTGTCTGTCTGCGTCACACATGTGTGTGTGTGCGTGTCTGTGTGTTAAAGGGGTCGACCGGAGGCTGCGCAGGATGGACCAGCGCGCCAAAGACACCAGGGCGTTCCATATGTAAGCCAACGAAACACACACATGCAGTCAAGCCACTCATGTGTGTGTGGTGTTCGTGTGACGGTGTGTGTGCAGGGAGCGCGCCAACGCTGAGCTGAGTGAGCCCGTGGGCGCCTCACTGCTCAGAGAAATCGCAGCAAAGTACACAGACACACCCACCCCACCGCCGACCTCTGCACACCTGAGTGTGTGTGTGTGTGTGCAGCAAGCAAGACGATCTCTTGCCCCCGCCTCCCTCAGCATCAGCCGCGTCAGCATCGCCACCAGCGGCCCCCCTCCCCCTCTCTCACCAGCAGCCGCTCATTCGGATAAAGCGCAAGCACACCGACACAACTGTCGCAGGGAGAGAGGCAGAGGCAGAGCAACAGCCAGAAGGAGACATCAAGAGGGTCCATCGGGACGACGGCAGCGACACAGCCGCGGCGGCAGTGGGGAGGGGCAAAGAGGTCAGTGAGGGTCTGATGGCTGCGTTGCTGCTGGGCTATGGTGACGATGACGATGACGATGAGGGTGAATGATTGAGGGGCGAGAGGGGCGAGAGGAATGAATCGATGGGCCATCCGTCAGTGTCCTTTTCGGTGGCGTGTGAGCGACACGTGTGTCATCCCGTCATGTTGATACATATCGACGATGGACACCTTTCGGCGACCAAACCGAGCCAACCTGATGGTTGGTTCTTGGCTACCCCCTTCTTGGCAAGATGTTGACGGAAACGGAACACCGAAATGTCGTTGGCGGATATTCCGCGGGCGAGGGTTTAACAAACAATACATTCACTCCTGATGAAGTGCTCGACGGACGCAAACACACGGCGGGCCGGGCCACGTTGCTGTGCCGGATGCCGATGTTGGCAGCGATGGCCTCACTGGCGGCGTCTTGGTCGAAGCACATGGCGGCGATCCGCCAGCCGATGGCCTCTGCCTCGTGTGGGCCGCATGAGAGGGGGGAGGGGGCGGGGTCCTCGCCGTCGCATAACGAAGCTGAAACGAGAAAACTGACCGCCCGGGCGCCTCCCGATCCTGGCCGCAACTACATTCGACCTTCCCCTGTCTGAGAAGCTGTCTAGCCGCGTGTGTAAGGTTTTTCGTTGATTCCCCATCCGATCCGCTCCGTCAGTCAGCAAACGCTCAGTTCACATGGCTTCCTCAGTGCACAATGCATGAACAGCACCCTGGGGGCCACAGGGGGCGTGGCGTCTCACCGATAGCGGCGTCAGCGAATCCTGATTTTGTGATCCAGTTTCTGCCATCCATTCGCGCTGATCCCCCCAGGATGCAGTCGTTCATTGCGGTATCCCTCTGTATCGCATTGGCGCTCCCCGTGCTGTCCGTGAACGCCACAGGCCTCGAGCTCCTCAACCATCGCAACAAGGCCATTGCCAACCGCGTTGCCCGACAGGCACACGCTCTCGCGGCCGGCGAGGCGGCCCACGCCATTGACAAGGACGCCACTGGCAGCGCCCAGCCAGGTGCGTACGCGATAGACACAAAGACAGCTGTGTGGAAGTTCGTGTGGTGCCACTGGTCCGTTGTGCGTGCAGGGGGGCTGCCGTCTCACCTGCCATCTGAGTTGTCCGTCGCCGCCGGCCATGAGCTGACCGGAACCGCCACCACGGCCACGACGGCCCTCCACAGTGTCAATGCCATCGCCAAAGAAGCCGCGGAGCAGCCGGAGCCTGCCTTCCTCTCAGAGGCCGGTGAGCGAGAGCGACTCAGCGACGGGAAGTTGCTGAAAAGAGCCAAAGCGAAGGCCCCAGCTGCTACGTGCGTGGTGTTGTCAGGTTTCCTCTCCGCCGTTGAGGGGCCCTTGCCGAATAAGTGCTCCATCAAGACAGACGAAGAAGGCGACCTCGTGGTGAAGAAATGCCCACACATGATAAACAGCTGGGTGTGCGTCCTGGATACACAGCGGCAAGGCCGCTGCCTCGGCCCGGAATTCTACGAGGGCAAGGGGTACAAGTGCAGCCAGGAGCCCTCCAAGCAGGACGAACACCAGATCTACATGGCCGAGGGCGGCTACTTCTGCGACCCGAAAGCGGAGGAGTGCCGCATCGAGTGGAAAGACAAGAAAAAAAGCTACAAGGTGAGTGGCTGCCCAAAGAAGGATCGCGTGTGCGTCTTTGACGTGAATGGCAAGCTCCACCATGGGCACTGCTACTTCCAATGGGGGTGCGGGACCTTTCACAAGATCCACAACACCGACACGGGCAATTACTGTCTGTGACCCTGTGACCCTGGCATCATACACACACACCTACACACACACTGAGAGAGAGAGAGAGGGGCAGTGCAGCGGTGCAGCGGACGAGGGCATATACATGTTGAAGCGGTGATCGGCCGACCACACAATGAACACTCTCACACAAACATCTCCATAAGCCGCCCACCACACACAGACACATAGATCCGTTCATTGGTCAAAACGCCCCGAAGGCATGCATGTTGGGAACTTGCGAATTATCCATTCTTCATTAGCCATTCTTCCGCCAGCCATCCCTCCAGCCATCAGGAGACAGACAAGACTCAAGTCTTGCCACCACCGCCCAGCGTCATCGGGATGGTGAAGGGCAGCGACGACTGCGACCTCAGCTTCTGCCGCTTCTCGGTGATCTGCTGCGCCTCCTCCCTGCACACACATACACACACACACAGAGAGAGGTGGATACGGCGGTTGATCGGCGTGTTGGTTAGGTGTGTCGTACTGGGGGAAGTGCAGCAGAGTCAGCAGCACGGGCACCAGACTCTCGTGCTCGGCGCCCCTGAAAGAATGACCGATCGAACGATCCACACACGCAGAAACAGACAGACAGGCCGCATGACATGACGCCCGACTAATCGCCCCAACGCCCCAGCGATTGACCCACCCGGGCAAATCGGTCTCCAGGAAGCTCTTGAGGATGTTTTTGAGGTACTCCATCGGCGCCTTCTGATTGCCCAGCTCCGTCACCGACTTTGTCGCCTCCGCGGCCCGCAGCTCGTTCTTCAAATGGGCAATCTGACACACACACACAGAGGGAGAGGGAGAGGGAGGGAGAGGGAGGCGTTTCTCGCTCTCTCTGGCAGAGAGGGTGGGCGTACTTGTTTGGTGATCAGTGAGTTCTGCTGGCGCTCCTCGACGAGTGACGACTCCAGCTGCCGCACCCGCTGCCGCAGCTTGTGGATGTCATCCCACGCCGTCTGCACACACACAGAGACAGAGGGAGAGAGGAAGAGAGGAAGAGAGGGATGGGCGATGGTTTAAGGTCGTGTGACAGACCGTTGCTACAATTCTGCGTCGATGACCTTTCCCTTTGACACGCGACAGGCGAACTCTCATTTGTGTCCGTGTCTCAGCTTTACTCTATGTGTCTGTCTGTATGGATCAGTCATTTAATGCACGTGACTCTCCATCAGATCCATACATCAGTCAGCCCAACATGCATGGCACAATTGTCGACACACACAGTGACACATCATCGGTCAGTCCACCCCTCTCCCTCTCACGGGCGTTCTCACGGGCAACATTAAGCAGGCCACACACACATGGGATGATGCACCCCTCCCTCCGAGCCTCCCTCCCGGGCCCCTCGGCTGCTGCCAACAGCACACGGCAACACTCAGCGGCCCAACCCTCCCTCCCTCTGTCTCAGTTGATGCCGAGTGTCACCCACTGCCCCCCCTCGTCGATGCGGCCCAGCTGCTGCCACCCACCAAACTGACAGTCGGCATTACCCAAATGGTCGTTGAAGCCCTTGTTGATGGCCCCCTCCTCTATGCCGTGTCGGGCCGCCTCGTCCAGCCGGGCCCTCTGCACCACCTCACGCACACCCACACGGCCCCGTGTGTGGACCACCTGGTGTGGGCGGCTGTCGGCCATGATGGCGAAGCACTGCAGCGGCACCCGCACCGTCACGCCGCCCACATTGGCCGTCCCACCCACCACCTCCCTGTTGCTGCTCGCATACAGCGCCGACGTGATGAAGTGCTCGACGGCCGCGCACACACGGCGGGCCATGTCGCTGTGCCGGATGCCGATGTTGGCAGCGATGGCCTCGTTGGCGGCGTCTTGGTCGAAGCACATGGCGGCGATCCGCCAGCCGATGGCCTCTGCCTCGTGTGGGCCGCATGAGAGGGGGGAGGGGGCGGGGTCCTCGCCGTCGCTGTGGTCGACGAGCGGCAGCAGGTGGGTCAGCAGGACAGCTAGCGACCGCTGAGGGGCAAGGGCGGGGTTGAGGCCGCCATCGCCCCCGTGTGCACGTCGGTGTTGAGGACTGCCGTGCACTGGGGCAGCACCAGGTCGCGACGACGGCGGTCCAGCTCGGTGTCTGTGGGCATCTGGCCGACGTCCGCCCCGCTTCGCAGCAAGCTGCGGACGCTGGCTTCGTAAAGGGGAATCTTGCTGGTGGCTCGGTCCCTGAGGTGCTGCCCTATGTCAACAGGGTCCTGCGAGAGTGCAATCGATGCATCAAGGCGGTCAGCAGCGAAGTATAGTGGCGTCTCATTGGGGTCGCCGGGTGTCCCTCTGTTGATGTCCGAAGAAGGTGCATGGCGGCCAAGGTAGTCGATCACACAGGGAGAACCGGCATCTGCCGCCAATTCCAAAGGCGTCCAATCAGCGGCATCCACCGCCGTCACATTGGCCCCGTTGTCCACCAGCAGGTCCAGATACGAATCGATGAAGGCCTGCGAATAGCGGCCTAGCTCGTCGCTGGCGGCCTTGTGGATGAGGTTGTAGCCGCCCGCGTCTTGTTCGGTTGCAAGTGTGGCGTCGTGCTGGATGAGGCGTCGGTATACCGACAACAGCCGCTGCTCATACGCCATGGGCACTTGATGGCCGACTCGGTCGGGGATGGGCCTGGGCAGCTCCATGACGAGGCGAAAGGGAAGGCCACGAGGGGGGCGCACCGCAGCGCCGCGCGCCAACAAGACCCTCATTGCGCTCTCATTGCCCCCACGGATTGCCATCCTGATGGGTTGGCTGTCCCAAAAGGTCGGCTCGTTCATGTCGGCGCCTCCGTCGATGAGGGCATTCAAGATGGCCGCCTCCAGCTCAGGCGACGACCACATGGGCAACACGACGGGCGATAAACGACCAGTGCTATCTGCTGCCTGAATGGGCATGGTGTTGTCACTCCAATTGTCAATGGCGAGACAGAGCAGCCGATACGCCCGCCCATTAGCGCCGCTGCCGCGCCGTCGCAGCCGGGGCTCACTGTCCGGGTCAGCGCCATTCCTTACGAGGTCCGTCACCTGCCGTGGATCAGCGAAGGCCCGACGAATGATGCCCTCAGTCAACTGTTGGCTATATATTGACTGTTGGGTCGCATGGCCGGTGCCATGATGATCCCTGTGTCTAATGTCGATGTCCTCGAGCCGCAGACAGTCAACAGACTGCTGGCCTTCCGCACTGCCAGAGGCCATCACTGACGCGGCCTGCTCACACCACACGGCAGCTGGAGGCCATTGGTCACCTCACGGCATCACTCCAAGCTGCATGCATCGTGAGAAACAGACAACAAACAGGCATCTCATAATGATTCTCATTGCCCCCTCCTTCTCTTTCTCTCCTGACCCATTCTCACCTTATCAGCGTACAACACACAGTCCTCGGCCCTCTCTGCCTCCTTGAAGTCGTCATACCTCCATTTTGATTGCTTGTCGGTTAACAGTGGCGGCATTCACGTTAGGGTGTAGGGTTTCTGAGGGCGTAGGGTCATAAACCCTACAGCCTGCTCAGAAATGGGAGGAAAATATGTGCGTGTGGATGGTGGGTAGCGGAGCTTTCGCAGCTGCAACCAAACAAGTAGTACCAGAGAGTAAAGTGTTTGTTGAGCGACCGAGCCTGTGAGCGTGTTGGTTGGCCACACACCAGAAAGGAGAGCTGCAGAGATGAAGAACCTCGGCGGCGGGCTGAGAAACCTGACCGAAAAGCTCCAGAGCGCAGCACAGAGGTGAGCAGATGGCAAACACGACACACAGACAGATCCGCGCGCACACACACACACACACAGGGAGAGATGATCTCTTCACGAGACGGCCCTTGTGTGTGTGGGTGTGCCACAGTGCTCTGGAGAAGGTGGGCGAGGAGGCTCAGGCGGCACAGGCGAGGCTCACCGGCTCAGGCTCACAGCCCGGCTCAGAGAAGAACTCGCCATCGATGCCACAGGCATCTCCCTCCCAACCCCGTCCCCCCTCTCCCTCATCCACAGCCACAAAGCAGCCAGGGGCCGCGGCTGTTGCTGCTGCGGATCACATTACACAGAGTAGGAGAGAGAGAGAGAGAGGGGAAGCGGTCTGTGTGTGGTTGTGTGTGGTTGTGTGTGTGTGTCAGTGTCCCGCGAGAAGCTGGAGGCCTTTGCGCGGAAGAGCTTCCAGTCGTTCAAGCAGGCCAAGGAACGCATGGAAAGTAACAACAAGCACACACACACACACACACACAAGTGTGTCAAATGCGCCATCCCCCACACCACCCTCTCTCCCTCTCTCTCTCCCTGTGTGTGTCTGTGTGCGGCAATCGACCCATCCGTCAGAGCTGGAGCGAGAAAACGAGGCCCTCAAGTCCCACCAGCCGAGCAGCAGCGGCGGCAGTGTGCGAGAGGAGGAGAACGCCGAGCTGCGGAGCATGCTGAGCAGCCGCACCGAGAGCCTCTCCCAGCTCACCGATGAGGTGCGGACACTCCGGGAGCAGCTCGCGGCGGAGACGGCCAGGGTGGCCGAGCTGGAGAGGGAGAGAGATCAGCTGACAGAGCAGCAGCAGCAGCAGCAGCAAGAGGGCGAGAGTGAGGAGGCGATAGAGGCGTCCATGTGATGGGTCTCCATCTCTCTCTCTCTCTCTCTGTGAGTGTGTGTGTGCAGGTGCCACTGAGTCAGAGCTTCGGAAGGTCCGAACCGAAAAGTCCCTGGTGGAGGTCGAGAACCAGTCGCTCAAGTGAGCCAAACGCCCCCGCCACTCCCACACACAAACCACATCTCTCTCTCTCTCTCTCTTCTCCCCTCCCTCTCTGTCTGGCTGTCAACAGGAGCAAGATTGCCCGCTTAGAGCAGCAGCAGCAACAGCAGCCGCAGCAGCAGCACCGTTTCGACAAGGCCAGGAGCTCCCCCTCTGACCAGTACGAGTCGCGATCGGCATCCTCCGGTGCTTCTGGGGGAGGGGACTCGCCCACCCACGCCGCCGCACACTCATCATCATCGCAGCAGCAGCAGCAGAAGGAGCAGCAGCAGCAGCAGCAGCATGCGCAGCGGGTCAGGACGGACACACACACACACTGAGAGAGAGAGGGGCCATGGTGTGTGGTGTGTCTGTGTGTCCATCAGGCCGAGTTGGATCTCCCCCGTCAAGTGCAGCTGCTGCAGAGCGAAAACGAAAAGCTCTCGCGGCAGATCCAGAAACAACAAATCGAGTCCACCAAAGTCAGCAGCCCACCCCCTCCCTCTCCCTCTCCCACCCTCCCTCCCTCATTTGCTCTCTCTCTCTCTCTGTGTGTGTGTATGTGCAACAATCAGGAGAAGAATGTCGCCATCAAGGAGTGCGAGAAGTGGCAGGACCGGGCTTACCGCCTCGAGAGCGACCTGCAGGCCGCCCTCAGCGAGAAAAAGGCCACCGCAGGTGAGCAGGAGATCCGCCTCAGACGGGCGGAGGGCGAGAGTGAGCGGCTGAGGGAGGCCGCTGCCGGGCTGGAGAGGGAGCTCGGCGAGCTGAGGAGTGAGAAGGAGAAGACAGAGAGGTGAGCCGAGTCGTGTGTGGAGTGCGGTGTGGGCGTGAGAATTGGTGTCTGTGTGTTTGTGGGGGGGCGGGATTGGGGGAAAGGGCGCTTGAGGAGGTTAGGCAGCGGATTGTCGACCAGAAGGAGGACCTCGACACGCGGCACGAGATGGTACGCCCCCACCCACAAGGCCGCACACCCCACACGGCCCTCCCTCTCCCTCTGTGTGTTTGCCGGTGCAGCAGTTGCGACAGGAGAGTGCCAGATGGACCGAGGAGAAAGACGCGCTGCTCGCCAAGCTCAACACCTTCCAGACGCAGGTCGAACAGATGGCCGACAGGGCGGCGCGGTCAGCTGAGGTGCGTCACACACACACACACACACCGAGAGAGAGAGAGAGAGAGAGCAAACCCCCCACCCTCTCTCTCTCCCTCCCTCCCTCCCTCCCTCTCTCTGTGTGTGTGTCAGCTTGAGTCGGCCATGAGTGGTCTCGAAGCCAACATAGACCAGCTGCAGCAGCGCATCACTCAGGAGGAGAGCAGCCGAGCCCAGCTCGCCGCACAGCTGGCCGAGAGGGACGCCGAGCTCGCGGCTGCTCGCGAAGAGTCCGAGGGCAAGGTGCGCCTCTGTGTGTGTGTGTGTGTGTGTGGATGTGTGTGTCGACGGTCAGTTGAGGGCCCTGCAGTTGCAGTTGGACCAGGGCGCTGAGCAGCTCGCCAAAGCCGAGCAGACCGTGCAGCAGCTGCAGCAGCAGCGGGAAGAGAGAGACGCCGAGCTCTCGGCGGCCCAGGAGGGGCTCTCGACAGAGGGGCAGGAGAGAGCGATGCTGGCCGACAAGGTGAGTGCCCGGCAGTAACACACACAAGCATGACACCCCCCTCTCTCTCTCTGTGTGTGTGTGTGTGTGTGTGTCAGCTAAAGGCCGCAGAGAGCCGGATTGCAAGCCTGCAAGAGGTAGGGTGGGTGGGATGGTGAGAAAGAGCCTCTGTGTGTGTGTGTGTGTGTATGTGTATGCGCCTTCTCTCTCTCTGTGTGTGTGTCAGGCCGAGCAGCACCACACACAGGAGTCACAAGAGCACCTCAAGCAGATGGAGGCCGTGCGGTGTCAGTTGAGTGCGGCAGAAGAAGCCAAAGGCGCGCTGCACGCCCAGCTCGACACTCTGCAAGAGGTCTGCGCCTCTGCGCAAGCACACAGATCGATGTGTGCCCTCTCACTCTCACTCTCACTCTCCCTGGCTCTCTGTCAGGCCAAAGACGCCCTGGAGCGACAGCTCGCCACTGCCCAGCAGCAACAGCAGCAGCAGACAGACACACAGCACCAGCAGCACAAACACGAGACCGCAGCGCTGCAAGCCGACCTCCAGCAACTGAGAGAGGAGCTCGCCCACACACAGAGCGACAGGGACGCCCTGCAGCAGCAGGCAGGCTCACAGCCCCCACTGCTACCACCCACCCACCCACCCACACAGAGAGAGAGAGAGGGAGGGGCTGTGTGTGTATGTGTGCGTGTGTGTTCGTCGAGTGCAGGTGACTGCGGTTGAGTCATCGCTGACAGAGAGGGAGGCGGCTCTCACTGAAGCGCAGCGACAGCTGACGGCCGAGCAGGCCGCCAAAGAAGCCGCACAGAGGTAACCTCCCCCGACAACGCCCACACACACACACGTGCAGCCCTCTCCCTCCCTCCCTCTCTGTGTGTGCAGAGCCGCGGAGGAGAGCGACGCCGACATGCGCCGAGAGGTGGAGCAGCTCTCCGCCACTCTGCGGTCTCGCGATGAGAGCATCCAGGATTTGCAGCAGCAGCTCGCTGGCAAAGCCGACAAAGTAGCCAGAGAGAGAGAGAGAGAGAGACATGGTGCTCTGGACACGCACACCCACAGACGTCTCTTTGTCTGTCTCTCTGTCTGTCTGTCTGTTTGTCTGGGTGGGTGCAGCTGAGCGAGATGGAAGCGTCACTCCTCTCCGCCCAGCAGCAGCTTCGCGAGCTGGGCGCCGACCTGACAGCCGAGAAATCGGCGAAAGACCGTCTCTCGCAGGAGCTGCAATCCGCCCACAGGTCAATAGACCCCCTCTCCCCCCCTCTCTCTCTGTCCCACTCTGTGTGTGACATGTGTGTGTCTTATGTGAGTGTCTGCAGGGCGGCGGATGACGCCCAGGAGGGTGCACGCGCTGAGGAGGAGAGCGTCGCGGCCATGCAGCAGCAGCTGCGGGAGAAAGAGGTACCCCTTCACCTCACCGATCCATCCC